AAATTAATTTTAAACAAAATGAATCAATTTTAAACAAAAGAATTGTAAGACTCATGAATTAATTTTAAACAAAAAAATTGTAATTAAAAAATTGTAATTGTATTGACTATCTTTTAAGTAAAACCAGACAAAAATTAAACATAAAAAAGAAACATTTTCACTAAACCATTTAAAACAAATTAAATATAAAACAAATAATTTCTGTAAAACCATGTAAATTTAATTTAAATATATATGCACTAAATTTAAAACGAACAGCACACCCTAAACACTTAATTTAGATATAAACAAAACCTAGAACAAACAATCTCAATAAACTGTTTAAATTTAAATTAATATAAACTATATAGTGTCATTAAACCATACAACCTAAATGAAATATAAATTTAATATATATCAAATATTTGTAATAAAACGTACTGGTTAGGGGTCGTTCACAAAGTACATACACCAAATATTTTGACATTTGATTTCCCCCTCCTCCCCCTGTTGCCATGCATACTTCTAAATCCTTCCTCCCTTAAAAAGTACCTACATTTTTGAAATACCCCCCCCCCCAACTTTTTTTTTTTTTTGATGAAAAAGTTTATGGAAAAAAAAAGGTGGAGAAGGTACCTTAGATATAGACTTTATTCGACCCAAAAGCTCTTTGTTTGCAGCACAGGATCCCAATTTAAAAAACATCTTCAAGTTTATTTTTTATTAATTTTAATAAAGTTAATAATGTTTACATGTTAATAATGTGTTGGCTTGGTTGAGCAGGTAATGCTGTGGACTGCGGCGACGGGGACCGGTGTTTGATACCCAGTTGAGTCATATTGTATTTTTTTTTGTTTTAATGACAAAAAAATTAAAATAAACTTTACTTAAGGCGGACATTTTTTTCAAACAGGTTTAGCATTATCCAAGATAATGCTAAACCTGTTTTTTGTCGACTCAAAAAAATAGGTTGCCTGAAATACGCCTTACTCAGGGCCAGTATATAATGTGTGCATGAGCATCTGCAGGATCTTTTGATGTTCTAGATAAAAGGAAACTTTCACACATTTGGCTTAGGTATATTTGAGTTTGGAGCTCCAAACATAAGTATTCCTATGCCTAATTTGTGAACTTTGTGTAAGCTTTAAAACTTAAGTATAACTATACCAAATGAGGAGGCCTTACAAAAAATTGGGATGACAGAGGCCTTGGAACAAAAAAGCCCTAAAACGCTTGCCCCCCCCCCCCTCCTACGAAAGCATGAGGGCACTAATGTAGTACAATTTTAACTTTATTATCTACAACTAAATTTAAATTTATCCACAGATTTTAAATTTCAAAGAAAAAAATTGTAAATTAGAAAAGTTATGACCATGCAAAATATACACCTTTTTTTTTGTTGTTGTTGTTGTTGGGGGGGGGGGGGGGGCGTCAAAAAATCCTGCGGACCCCTATGCATGTGTGTGCATTGAGGAAAACTATATCCTCTACTCCCTATACCAAACATCTTTTTATGTTGGCAAACTAGGATCTTTAGTCAGAATTTTGACTTTTCTATTGATTAGCTGGTTAATTGTGATAAATTAGAAAATTGATGTACGTACTTTAAAAAATGAGTGACTTGAATAAACTATATAAGTTGAACTAAGTAGAAACTAAATATAAAACAAATTATTTTACTAATAACCGTATAAATCAAAAGTTTAAGTTAAAACAAGTATGTGTACTAAAATATACAAATGTTAAATATAAATATAAGTTGAATATAAATATAAAATGAAGAATCGCATTAACTTTTTCACTACCAGCCGTTTTAACAAAAATTTTTTTGATTTCAAAAATTAAAAAAAAAAAATTTTTTTTGAATAAAATTTAGATATCATAAAATTGACAACTAATTAAAATTCAAATAGTAAATCTTTTTAAAAGCCTAACAAACTATATATCACTGGAAATCTAAACAAATGTACTTTTTAATTAAATAAGTTTTTAATATGCATCATTGAACAATAAGAAATGTTTAAAACCATTGTTTTTACTGAAGCATCAAGTCCAAATCAAAACTCATTTAATGTATAAAAGGAATGTTTTTTTTCAAAAGACTTTGGTAATTACTTAACTAAATACTTAACACTTCTACAAGTTAAATTTTACAGTGTTAACGCTGTTTTATTTTATAACTAAATTTAAAGGGTTTTTTTTATTTTGAATTACTCAAGATTTTTTAACTTTGTCAAGTGATAAATTTTCATAATTACACAATACAGCTCTCATTTGTTCTTGATGATGTAGAGAATTAACTAAACTTTTAGAACAAACAAACTATATGTGTATATAACTAAACAAACTATATGTGTATATAACTAAACAAATCATATGTGTATATAACTAAACAAACTATATGTGTCTAGAATGAAAAACTATGGTAGAGTTAAACCATATAAACTAAATGTAAATTAAACATAAAACAATCTATTAAACCATAAAATCTGTTCCAACTAGTCCCAATAGAGGGGTTTGT